TGTTCACATCTGTTAATTTTGCAGGACTCTGCTTGCATACCTTAACAATGTTAGTAATTCTTTTTCACATTAGATGATATTGTGTGGATGTTTAGGTTACTTTGATGGTATTCTTTGGGTTGGATTCTTAAGGGAAGAGACTGTGGTTATTTTGTATTTGAGGAATTATGACACTGAATGCCTTTTTTCCCTTTTTTTTTTTCTTTTGATATGAACTTGTTACTAGAACTTGCTTGTTGAAGCAGTATATTTGGCCTGGCCAACGGTAAGGTATTAGGAGAGCCAGAAATAGCAAGCTGGTAATATGCTTGAATAGCAACTGATTTGTTGAAACTAAAATTAAAATGTTGAGAAAGAGTTCTTCGGAATTCTCTGATTTGGATTTTTTTTAAACTCTTTACATTCTCTGAGAGAATAAAATACATTCTTGCCCTAAAGAAAACAAAAGTTTTTGGTTTTGTTTTTTTTTTAAAATGTGTTTTTCTGCTGATTCATCTTCCCCATTTGAGGAGTTTGATCAGGTTATTAAATCTGATCACTTTCCCATGTGTTCTGATGATAAGGCAAAATTTAAGCCTGTTTACTTACCTGAACAGAAACTGGGACCTTAGTCACTAGTGTTTCTGCGTCAGTGAACTTGACTCCTTCTTTTATGAAATATGGATAGTTCTGCAAGATTCTTGAAGTATGTTTTAAGATTGATTTTCCACTTCCGTAGACTAGGAACTTCAAGAGAACTTTCAGTCTTGCCACAAGGTGTTACACTTGTTATCTTACCGATAGTAGATATTTCTCCATTATATTTCTAACAAATTAAAATAAGAAGAATCCCTACCAAAATTGCTTCTCCATTTCTAGGTAGTGTGGAGGGAAGCACTGGAATTATTACCTTTGTGTAGTTGAGCAGGAGAAACAATTTAGAAGTATCTTTTTAAAATTTGCACCTGTATATTAATTCAGGATTCAGTTAAGCACTACCAATCGTGGATTTCTTGAGACGGTATTAGCATAAAAAGTGCAGATGCTTCTGCAGCAGTTCTTTAGGCACATTTATGGTTCTTCAGTTATGCTCATCATGAAACTTTGCACTTGCAGCGTATTTACAGTTAAAAATGTCTGAAATGAAATTATCTAGTTATATAGTAGGCAAGTACAGTAGGGGTCTGAAGAATAGATCTTTAACTAACAGTTTAGGTTTTCAAACTTGAATGGCCTTGGCTTCCTGTTGAGATTTGTTTAAAATTGGGTGGTTGTCACTTAAATTTAGTTAGTGGTAGTCTGTTTTAAGTGTTAAAATCTTGTAAGCCAAGTTTCTGTTTCTATTTGTGTATGTACATGCCTTTTAAATTTATAGGTTTGGGATAACATTGCTTCCTTGAAGTATTCAGTGACCAATGAACAGAATTGTGAAAATTCAAAGTTAGGGCAGAACTCCTGCATTAAAACGAGCATTATTGTATAATCTCTAGTTCTCTTAGGAAACAAAGGCAGACAGAGGCATCTAGTAGCTGAAGAGAACAGAAGTCCTTAATGATTCTTTCCATGTGAGATAACCAGTTTACTTGCTTTCATGCATACAGAATGTTTTGTTGAACTGTTTTGTTTCCTCTTTGTCATGGGCTTGGAGTCAAAGAGAAAAAAAGAGATTAATTTAAAACATTTGAAACTACTGGATTGTTGTCTTTTTAAAACCAATTTAGTCATCATAAAAGCAGAATTCTGCTCAGTTTCTGTGTCACACCTCAAGTTCTACAAACTCTAAAGTAAATTACTTGTTTCTTAGCCATTCTACTGTAATTTTTTTTTTAAAAAATTGATTTAGAGTGATTCTGATGCATTATAAGAATTACATGTAAGGGGGTTTTTTGTTCACTGTTCTGTAGTGGTTTATGGGTGTGGTGTTTGATTTGTGTGCAGAAAGTACAAGATCTTCAATAAAATTAGGCTGTATCAAATATATAGAGAGCTGATAAATATTGTAGTTTGCATTAGGATTTTAAACTTCAAAATTTCACGTGGAATAGCTGTGATCAATGGTGTTTGTTAATCTTGTGCAATTTGAGGCTAAAAAATTAGCAAGTTTGTCCAGGAAAAAAACTTCAAACCCTCAAGTTTTCAACTGGCTTTTTCCTATAAAACCTGAAATGGAGGTATAAAGCACTGGCAGCTAGATGTAACTGAAAACTCCTATGTTCGAGCCAAATTTTTTGTGTATTGAATGAAGAGATAGAAAGGAGAGGATTCTCCCAGAGCTCTGTCTGCAGTCGCTGCATCTGTGAGACGAGCTGTTCCCAGACTGCAGGAGCAATGTGCTTACTCTGGAGGGAGAGATGAGGCCCTGATGAACAAAGCCATGTGGTGGGGCTTGTGAGGGAATTCTGTTTAGCCTCCTATCTCCTGTTTTAGAAATAGCTATTCAGAATCACAGAATTGTTGAGGCTGGAAAAGACCTCTGAGATCATCAAGTCCAGCCCATGACCCAACACCACCACATCAGCCAGACCACGGCACTAAGTGCCACATCCAGCCTCTCCTAAAACACTTCCAGAAGGCTATCATGGAATGTGAAGCAAACAGGGGTT